AATCTACCTATATTTGGATGGGCAGTCTTAAAGTTTTTTTTTCTTAATTTTAACTTTAAAATAGCTTAAATTTCTTTTTTTACAGTTTATGTAAACAAGGTTACGATAAAATCATCCTCTGTGCATACCATAAAAATAATTAAACAAACGCTGAATGCTTACAAAGTTAAAGCATTTAAACAAAAAGCATTTTTGTATAAACTCTTCAGAATTTAAATTTTCGTTTACAAAGGAATAACTGGAGAGGACAAAATTTTCTACAAATTACTTTGTTCGTTTAAACCCGTAATTTGTGTTAATAATTTTCTTTATATTTTATACCCGATGTTGAGTCTATTTAATTATTATTACTTAAGTTTCTTTTTACAATCTGAATCATTTAAAGAGATTTGTAGTGTTTTTTACAGAAAAACTTTAGTTTGCGTTCGTTTTACAACGTCTGTGTGTAGGCACCATAAGGCAATATTTTACTTTGCTTCGTATAAGTAAAAACGAATGTCAGTTGCGACCATTTGTCTTGCGACTGTCCTTGGCTGCGACGCGGAAATAAGCTGGAAAACACTAGAAGAAATTTCCGAGCGAAATTTATTCCAAAATGTCATTTGTAAGCTTTCGTTGTAGATAAATTGTAAAAGGATTTGTAAACGTTAGCTTACGTCTCTAATGGTATTATGGTCTTTTAGGTCAATATACGTTTAGGAAGGAAAAGTATCTAAATTCTTAGATCTTTGCAAACGGTTTTTTCGGTAATCTTTGCGTATCGAATACAAGGACATTGTGTTGTTTTTAAAATGAAGACATTCAAATTTATATATCGATAGACAGGACAGCTAGAATGACCTGTTACCACTGTTATACTATATTCTTAGTAATATTATTATTTTATGTGAAAATGTATTTGCCAAGGCAGTGGCACCGGAAGTGTTAGAAATACCGTAAACTTTTTATATTAAAATCGGTAAAGAAAATAATAGTTAGTTGTAAAAACATTCATTATTAGTTTAAATCAGGTTTCGATTAGTAACTTTGCTACTTTAATGGAAACTTTTATGCAGTAACAGAAGGAAGGAAGGATCGTTGGTATTTCCATTGTTATTCCAACTGAGTGGGGAACTATTGATAAAGTCAGACGTAATTAACATTGTTTATTGAAAGTTGAAATTGTTGGAAAGTTTATAATTTTCTTCTTTGTTTTCGTTGTTTCTGTTAAAATTCGATATTTTACATTGTGCTTTTTTTTATGATTGGAAAGAATATTTTTGCAGAGGTAATTTTATAAAAGTTATGAAAAAATTGATCTAAAATAATTTAAAATTTCGTGTATGTATTAGACGCGTCGGAGGCTCAGGGTTTAAGCACTTGACTTGCAATCTGCAATTCCTAGGTTCAAATCCCGCGATGTACCAATGTGTTTTTCGGTTTACGATTTTCATATGTACATTTATCCGACGTTCTTATGGTGAAAGAAAACATCGCGAAACCTGCACATATGTAAGAAGAAATTTTAAGATTGTGTGAAGTCAAACAAATCGCACTAGACCAGCGTGGTTAACTATGGCCTACTCATCCCTAACTAAGGGGAAGGCTGCAAGCTCCTCAGTTGGTACATGGTGAGCTGATGATTATGTGTACGTATTTAAATGAGCAACGTCGGTACAACTACGACTTTATTTTTTAAAGGGGTTAGCAAAAAAATCCTGTTGGAGCTTAATTACAAAATTCATGTTATAACACCATTGGGGCTTATAAAATGTTGATTTACTGACGTTACAAGATAAGCCATAAAACGTAATGGTCGATTAAGTGTATATTATAATTTGAAACCTTTGTGCTTATCTTAGCTGCCATTTTCCTCAATTTTAGAAGTAAAGGCTTTGCGGTAATGCCCGTAGGGGCTTGTAAGGTGCAGGGTTTCAAAGCATTTTTATGTTGATCCTGTATTTCTTCCGTAACTATTTTGGTCTCAAGGATCAAGTTTCTTAACCATTTTTCCAACCAGAGTATCGTTATGTTTGATCCTGTTTTGATGTTTTAAACATTTTATAACTCCAACTCGCCCCTCTCCCATCTTAACCTAGACCGGCCAATAAATTTTCACATAATGTGTCAGGTTAGATTAGTCTAATTTTAAAAAAATAACTACTAAAATTAACACTTAACAGAACCTTAATTTACCTCGCATTTTCGTTTTTGATAAGACAAATAAAATCCAAAGTCTAGCGAACAACAGATTAAAATAAATTTACAGCAGACCGAGTTAAATAGTCGGTAGTGTTAACAGGCTCCCACAAATCCAATTACATGCAGCAAGTGTCCCGACTTGTTGCAAATTGTACGGGACGTTACAGTTTTCCTACAGGTACTAAATTTTTAAAAAAACTTTAAAGTAAAACGGATAGCAGATAAATACGCTATTATCATCTGTTTTGCCCTCATTCATAAAGGCGCATTTTTAACGCGCGGTAAAAATCGATTAAACAGAACAAATGCATTTCCGTACTTTTAAATCGCAATGCGTTTTTTATCGCGCAGTGTTGCATTTTGAGCTTTGAACGAACGAAACGAGAGTGCGTTTAAAGATTTCGACCCACTAGAGTTGGCAACGCAGTTTCTACGCGGCTTTAAAAAATGGCCATGCGAATGAACGCTTAATAAGCCATCTAATTACAAAATATAGAAGATAAAAATCTTTGTGTTTGATTTTAGGACGGTTTTAAGTGAGTTCTCGAACTATGTACAGTGATATTATTGCAACGTCGTTACATTAATTTCATATATCAAGCTAATGCATGAAAAAAGGGTCTTGACATACAGACGGACGGACAACAAAGTGATCCTATAAGGGTTCCGTTTTCTTCTTATGAGCTACGGAACCCTAAAAATTATTCAAAGTGTTGTAAAATAAAATAACATCATGTAAATTGAACTTTTAAACGTTATTGTGTGATGTTATTCGGAATTCAACGTTCTGGAAAAGCAGTTTTCAATCGTCTGGGCTGATGTCGATTCTCCGGTCAAATGTTTCTCTTCTCTCGTTACGTATTAAATTGCTTTCTTACGATTACCCGTTTCTATAGCCTTGGAAATGTACTTAAGTTAACGGACCTAATTTTATTTTATAGCATTAGCAATAGGTTAAATGTCCACCGTAATATAAATTATACTTACGTCTTTTGGTGAAACTCTATTATTATTCAAAAATATAAAAATGTTGTGTAGGTTTTTATTTAGCCCTTTAGAAATAGGACTAGGTTTCACTTGGTTTAATTATCAGTAGTCAATAATCTGTGAAATATAAAAAAAAATATTCGCATTCAAATCTTAATTTTTAGATAATCGCTTCCAAAGAAAGATATGATAATTGTAAAAGGAAAGTCGCTGGCAACTTGTTATAATTTTTTTTTTTTAAATAAGCATTAGGTGGTAGTGGATCAAACCGATTTGATCCTAGCAATCGTTTTACGATCAATCAAAAGTCTATTATGTAAAATGTTTATTGCTAAACCGATATTAAAGCATTTTTATTACTTTTTTTATCTTTTTGATACAAAAAATAAGCATTTTTTTATTGACTACTTTTTGTGTCTATTTAAGTTATTTGTGGGAAACAAGTTGCATTGTAACTTATTGATTAAATCTTATTCTCATTTACTCTACAGTTCAGAAATGTACATTGCATTGTGTGACGCCCTATTGTTAAGAGAGCTGTTTCTGAAAACTAAGTTATAAATAGCTTCGCCTTCGCACAATTTATTTCATCGTATAGTGTAGCGCAACATGTTTTTAATATATGAATAAAATATATATGAAACCGTTTCCATATATTATACATTTGTCCATTAAATTACATCAGAGGCCTAAGCAGAGGGACTAGCACGAAAATAAGCGAGAAAGTATTCGTAACGTCATCGATAAAATTTGTATTAGATTTGTATTGGGAGTATATTACAACGACAAATATTATACATAACCTTTTCTCGATGACGATACGAAAACGCATATAGCAAATATTCATAACTAGCAGTTGCCCGCGACTTCGTCCGCGCAGAGTTAAAAGAAAAATCTAAGAATAAATATTTCGGCCGTTAGTAATAAACCCTTAGGTATATTAAAAACAATATACATTCGTCATCGTCTTTGTATGCGATATGTGCAGCGTAAAAGTAACTTAGGAACTTACAAGCACAATCTTCAGTCTGACTTTTCTTTCCTTGCTGAAGAATGTCTTAATAAAAATTCAAAAGTTTCCGTACAGTAATCTATCATATGTTAAAAATCTTGGAATATTAAGACTAGTCTTCATTTACAATGGTTCAATTTACGTTCACTTACTTAGAATGGTCTTCTTAATGACCCGAAATACGTAATTGGCCGAGACATCTGTACAAGTGGACACTCGATTTGCCACCGAGACTCGCCTGCAGAGAACGTTTAAATGAAATGCCTCGTTAAAATTCTTCTCAAGACGCAGTCCGTATTTATTTTGACGCATATTAAACGACCCCAGAAAATGTGATACCAACTAGTTTACTAAAAAAATTGACAGATATAATTTTAACCTATTTATAATAATCATTGTTTGATTGTCAAATATATGTTTTTAAAGCTCTGGATAGAATTTCTTAAACCTGTACAATGTTCTGACAACGCCAATACAATTTTAATGGAATAATTAAGAGAAGACATTAAGTACAATAACGTAGTAAGTGTAAATCGTTATTATAAAATAAATGTAAGAGGGATTAACTATTAAATAATGTATTTTCTACCAGCAAACTTTATCTCGGTAACATTTCCTGAAAACAAAAGAATGCAATTTGGCAAAGCAAATATAAGAAAACCTCGGACGCTCGTCCGCCGCTCTTGTTTGCAGAACGTTCACCATGCTTAATATTATTAAAGTCATGTTCCGTATTCGTGCTTTATTTGTTCCAATGTTCCGCATATTTCCACCGTTATTTGTTCCGATGTTCCATGTTAACGTTGTTGTTTTGTTCCAGTGTTCCCGAATGTTCCCGCGGCGCCGGGGATGCCCTGCGCGGGCGAGGACCGTGAGTGTTGACTCTTTTTATGTTTGTTTTGGTAGCGGATTGGATTTTATGTTGACCCATAACATATATGCGTTTATGCAAAGATAATAGTTTCGTTGAAACATTTTTGTATTTGTACAACCAATTTTTATCAATCTATGAATTCAATCGAGCTAGTAGATGTTCAGAATTGGATTTAATTCTTTTAAACTTTTACTATTTTTAGACATTATTAGTTAGAATCCTTTGGCGCGAATGACGTGCTTTCGTCACTAAGTCCAGTATCATAATGAATAGTGAGGGTACACAAACGTCGACATTTTAGTAAGTCTAGTGTTGGGTCAGTACACTGCCACATTTTCGGATTTTCTTCCTAACATTGTTTTTATAGTAGAAGGTGACAAACAAGTAACGGGTGTACTGAATTATTGCAGAGGTATTACTTACCTTTATTGGATATTATGCACCTCTCATCGCCCTAATCCATTTCTCTTGTTAAGAACCTCTTTGGTAGTTGTTAAAGAATTGAAATTCAAATGACACTACTTAATAACCATTGTATATAGGTGGAGTCGATCAATTTAATCAGTACGATTAGTTCATCACTCGAATATTATATACAAACGATTGAAAAATTTTCACCTTAAATCGATAAGATTATGTTGATAAGTCGGGCAATGTGCCGCGCGACGATCAGTTGTTAAAATGTGAATGCGAGCAAATGTCTTGTGCTTTCGTTGCCGTCGAATTTCTGACAGGTGTGTTTGTACGTGTGTCCGTATGTGCATGTAGTTTGTTATAAGTTACAGATAAAATAGTACAAAGATCCTTAGTTTGATGTTTAGAACCTTTTTGTGGTGATTGAAAATAGAATGTTGTATTGTTTTAAAGAACGCAATAAAAATGCATAACCAAAAATGTTTGCACCTACACATATATAAATATATCCTAACCGATTATTGTTCCTATGTTAATTCCAAAGAAGATTTGAATTAAATTGAAATTATTGTAAATTTTTTTTTAATAATAAGAGAACCTCTTTCTTATTGAAGTCGGTTAAAAATCAAATAGTAACGCAGCATTTTCTTATCTATGTATAGTTATAAATAGCAGAAAATAAACATTTAATAAAAAGTCATAATACCAAAAACATTTGACCTAATTACTACAACGTTTGTCCAAAAAAATAATAGAAAAGTATTCCAGTTTTCTTTTAATTAACCATTTAGCTAAATAATTATTAATTAATTAAATTCATAAGGAATTATTAGCGTCATAACAAACCGCTGTTGGCAATTTAAAGGAGCAATTAACACTTTGAGCAAATATATTGTGTTGTCGCAACTCGAAGCGCTGGATCACTTCTCATTGTATAACTCGGTGATCCAATTCTTTGCCTACACTTATTTGTAGCTAGATTAAAAAACGCGAGTTGCCATATCAACGAAATTAAAAGAAATTGTAAGTATGTTGTCGATTTTGATGTAACGAATTGGCATTGCACATATATGTTTGTTGTTATATATATTACAGTAGAATAAAGCTGAATGTATATGCCATGGGTTTGTACATAGTCTAGTGAAAAAGCTGGAATTTTACGTCCTTTTGTATGAATAAAGGTGCGTTACATTATACGTTTTCTATACAAATAACAAATGCGAATATGTATATATTTTTAGAAACAATATTTTATAATGATATACTAAGGGTTTACTGACCATTTAATAATGAGGCAAAACTCTAACATTATAACAAAGGCTTGTATGTTATTACAGGGAGCATATACAGGAGAGGCGCGCGTCGGTGGCGGAAACTATATCGTGTCAATGGCCACATCTTCCAAGCTAAACGGTTTAATAGAGTAAGTGTTTAACTGTTACTACGGTTTGTGAACAGTGTGAGTTTCCATTGTCGAAACATTTGTATAAAAACATGTTCATATTCATTGTGTTTGAAAAAACAGACACAATATGTTCGATAGTAGATTTTCACGTAGTTACACTTTCTCACGTTCCCATTTTCCGTAAATATTTTTTTTCATACTAGATGTCGCCTGCGGCTCCGTCCGCACGGAATTAAAAATAAACATAACTAGTAGCCTATGTGATCTTCTTCATTTCATCGAGAACCGTTCAGCCGTTGTGGAGACCTTCATACAAACGTCCATCCATCCATTCATCCATCAATTCAAACGCATTTATAATATGAGTAAGATTATACAAATTAAATAAAATGTATTAATTCAACCTGTTTTAATAAATTTCTATTAATTACATTCGTTACTACGTTTCAATTTGTTTACAGCACTTTAGAGTTTCATCATGATGAGTGGTATGAACAACTCGGAACGTCGTAAATGGAAAATAAATAACATTTTGCAATATTAATTTAATTAATTAAAAGTTTTGAGTATAATTAATTAACTATTTTTTTATTTGTTTAAGTGAAATAATTAAGTTACTGTTGTATTTTGTTTTTGTAAGACTGAAAAGATTGTAATATTTATAGCTGTCTTGTATGTTATTTTGGTGAACGTACATTTTTTTATAGGAGAAGGGGGCATAGCTTAACAATTTGATATTCATTTACATATATCATTTTTCTCCATAATGTCATACAATTTTAAAATTAAAACAAGGTGTCGCACGCGACTCCGCCCGCGTGGAAAAAGTAACTTATTATAATATGTAGCCTATGTGTTAATTCAGAATATGTTCTACATGTATGCCAAAATTTCGTCCAAATCCGTTATGCCTTTCTGGAAATACCTTTAAATAAACATCCATCCATCCATCTAAATATTCGCATTTATAATATTATTAAGATTAAAAATTGTTTTTATCGTATTCCAGCGTGCGTTCTGCGCGTTCTGCCAGGACCGTATCTGGGGCCTGGGTCGTCAGGGCTTCAAGTGTATCCAGTGCAAGCTGCTCGTGCACAAGAAGTGCCACAAGCTGGTGCAGAAGCCCTGTTCCAATGAACATGTCGACCCTGTTGAAGTCAAAGAGGATGCCAACGGAGAGAGTACACTCGGCAGAGCGTCTTCTGTTCGGTGAGTCAACTCAAACTATGCCTACATGATGCTTCTATATATCGTAAACGGAGGAGACGGCTTGTTGGACCAAGGAGGATTCGCATTTGAATATAAACCTGAAGACGGATATTTTGGAGTAAAGACCAGCAAACACATCTCCAGTACCAGTAGATGTTGAAGATGTTAGGCGTTGATGATCGCTTGGTCGCTCTCGCCGCTTTGATTGCTTAAAAATAAGATATAAAAAAAAACTTGTTTCTATCTTAAATTAATAAGATACCACATGCTCAATACCTGTGCATTTGATAGTCCCTAATATTTTTCTATGTATGAAATATAAATAACAAACAAAATATACTTAAAAAATATTTTACGCTAAGATATATTAGTACTAAATTTAATTATTTTTGTGTCAGATCGCGCGCGGAGCCCGAGCCGCTACCGGAGACCCCGCCCGCGCCTCCTGCACCAGTGCGCGCTGAGGACCTGGAGCCCGGCTCACAGCGACACTACTCGCTTGAAGACTTTGAGCTTATCAGGGTCATCGGACGCGGCTCCTACGCTAAGGTAAGAATATCAAATGTGAATGTACTAAATACAAATAATCTTTGAAAATGCAAACTCTAATTCTCTTTTATAAAACCACTAGCCGTCGCCCGCGACTCCGTCCACGCGGAAATAAAAAAACTTAATAAGTAGCTTGTGTTCTTCCAGCCTATGTTCTACATGTGTGCTAAATTTTATCAGGATCCGTTGAGCGGTTCCGGAGATACCTTCAAACAAACATCCATCCATCTAAATTTTGGAATTTATAATATTAGTACTAATAATATCTTAACTTTTTACGTAGCTAAGAAATATTCCTATGAAATCGATTACATATAGCGTATACTAGTAAAAGATATTAAGTAGACAAATATATGTATGATGTTCCAGGTGCTAATGGTGGAACTGAAGCGTACGAAGCGAGTGTACGCGATGAAGGTGATAAAGAAGGCTCTGGTGACCGATGACGAGGACATCGACTGGGTGCAGACGGAGAAGCACGTGTTCGAAACCGCCTCCAACCATCCCTTCCTCGTGGGCCTGCACTCCTGCTTCCAGACACCCAGCAGACTGTTCTTCGTTATCGAATTCGTGCGCGGCGGAGACCTTATGTTAGTACATTTTTACATCACAAAGCATTGCTAAAGATTGTACAAGTAATCTTGATATTATGATAGACTAGCTGTCGTTGGCGACTCTGTCTCCGTGGGTACAAAAAAAATCTTAATAAGTAGCCTATGTGTTCTTCAAGGTTATGTTCTACATCTATGCCAAATTTCAAATAGATCCATGTAGTCTGGAGATATCTTCTAATATATATCCATCCATACATCCAAATATTTGCCTTTACAATATTAGTTACAAACTTAATATAGCTTCTCTAATTTTAGGTATATTATTACATCGAAATATGGTTCTACATCTTTATTTTGTCATGTTTCTCGCTCAAAATACACTAAACTCTGAATTGGACCTTCGAGCCAAAATAATGCCAATTAGTTAAAGACCGAAGGTTAGATTTCTCGATTGCACATCTTTAAATCGGCTTAAATACAAACCGAAAATATTTAAACTATTTATTAAAGATACCACAGATAAAGAAATGAGGTCCTTCGAGCCGGATACCAGTAACCAATGAGGAGTTACATTTGTTCAGGTTCCACATGCAGCGTCAGCGGCGACTGCCGGAGGAGCACGCGCGCTTCTACGCTGCAGAGATCTCACTCGCGCTGCACTTCCTGCACGAGCGCGGCGTCATCTACCGCGACCTCAAGCTGGACAATGTGTTGCTGGATCACGAGGGACACATCAAGCTCACTGACTATGGCATGTGTAAGGTTAGTACCTGCTGAAAGTAACATCGCCCTTTATAAACCCTTTGCCACCTGCGAAGCCATTTTTGGTTTCATCACTTTGTGATTTTTTTTAGTTCATTATTTTTTTTTATAAAATTAACTTTCAAATACTATAAGCATTTTTTGTCAATAGTCAACGTCAGTTTGAAAAAAATATTTAAGGTTTTTTCTCAAGTTTTTTTTTACATATACGCCAAATAATTTTATATATGTCGTATGTCTTGACGTACCGTCTACACTCATGTTATATTTTTCTTAAATATGTCACCCCAAACATAGAAGTTCCTGGTGACATAATTTATGTGTCATGTACAGGAGGGCGTGCGTCCAGGTGACACGACGTCCACATTCTGCGGTACACCCAACTACATAGCGCCGGAGATCCTGCGCGGCGAGGAGTACGGCTTCTCAGTGGACTGGTGGGCGCTCGGCGTCCTCACCTACGAGATGTTGGCAGGACGATCTCCCTTCGACATCGCGCAGGCTGCTGACAACCCTGACCAGAACACTGAGGACTATCTCTTCCAGGTAACATGCACATATATGTGGCCTTTTTTATCATCATCAGCTCACTATAGGTCCTCACAGAGGGGCTCGTAACCCTCTCTCTAACCTCTAAGTAAGGGGTGATCTTAATAACCACCCTGGTCCATTGCGGAATGACTTTACATATCATTGAATTTAGAAATTTGGAAGGAAAAATAGGACAAAAATTAGACTAACTTATACTAGTTGGCACCCGCGACTACGAACGGCTCGAAATTTAAAAAAATCAACCTGTAGCCTATGTATTCTTCCGGACTGTTTGATTTCAACGAGATCCATGCAGACGATCGAGATAGATACTTGTAACAAACATTTATACATACAAACATTCGCATTTATAATATTTTAATTTTTAATTTTACAAGGAGTTTGATTTAACAATATTTATATTGTCAGGTGATCCTGGAGAAGACGATCCGTATCCCGCGCTCATTGTCTGTGAAGGCGGCCTCGGTGCTGAAGGGCTTCCTCAACAAGAACCCGGCGGAGAGGCTCGGCTGTGGCGAGGGAGCATTCCTAGACATCGTCAACCATCCCTTCTTCAAGAGCATCGAGTGGGAGATGGTGAGCATCACATCATACCATACAACTTGATTAACATACATTTTGTACCGCTTTCTTTCTAAATTAAATCTAAGTTCTAGGTCGACAGTCACTATATGACAACGAAAACGTTAACCTCCCTATAGATATCGTAGTTATTAGTCATCTGAATTCTCTTTAAGACCAGAGAAATATTTTCAAGCTGTCAGCCGAAACTCGATCATTCAGAATTAACAAAAACATAATTAGGAACATATATGTTCTTTCAGACTATGTTCTACATCTATGACAAATTTCAGCGAGATCTATGCAGCCGTTCTGGAGATATCTTCTAACAAACATCCACTTATCCAAACATTCGCATTTATAATATTAGTATCATTTGATTTCTTTACTTATTTTGCTTTAAGTAGTAAAAAAGCGATGTATTTTGTGTTGTGCAGTTGGAGCAGAAGCAAGTTGTGCCGCCGTTCAAGCCGCGGCTGGAGGGAGAGCGCGACCTCGCCAACTTCCCCCCAGAGTTCACTGACGAGCCTGTGCACCTCACGCCTGATGACGAGTCAGTATACCTCACACACACCTCATACAAACCTCACATGAACCTCACACATTACACTCTGACCTCACACACATCTCCCTCGAACCCTACACACGTCACACTCAACACTCGCACATATCTTGCTAAACCTCACACGAATCTCATATGAACCTCACGAACCTTATACAAACCGCACTCACTTCTCTCTCGAACCTCACACAAGCCATTATACACCAACATATTGTCATAACAGAGTAACTGTATGCCTGCTATTAAGGCGAAAGATACGGTAACTATAATTAAGTCAAATGGGCGTGGCTAAAGTATAGTTCGATTCACTTGTATGCCCCGCCCCTTACATTCATTCTATGTTAATAAATAACATTTTGACGTAGTGGTGAGTGTCAATATTGACATTTACCACAAATGCAGTACCCTCGACTCAGTGGGATTGTACGTGTTAATATTATTGTTTCCAGCACCGTGATAGCGGACATCGACCAGTCGGAGTTCGAGGGCTTCGAGTACGTGAACCCTCTGCTGATGTCTCTGGAGGACTGCGTGTGACAGCACGCCTGCCGCCTGCACCCCTACCACCCCGCGCAGGTACAAACAAAACATACACAAACTCTTTGTACCAAAATGACAAAAATCAAATAAGCACAAATTACTACCTTTTATAACCAGTCCATTTATAGAGGTTAGTGTTTTTGGAGAATTATGAGGTTGAACCCCAAATTATTGGATAAAGGTACAAATAGCTGAGGATTTCAAACATTTGAACATACTTTGTGACCTAAAAGTAAACGTCCAAAACAGGCATCGCAATTTTTTCTTACATAAATATGTATATCAGGCTTATGGATACGGCGCGGAGTCGTCGTCTTCAGACTACGACTCTGTGTGCTCCGAGCTGCCGGCGCGCAAGCCCACGCTGCTGCAGCACATGTTCTGCCTGCCGCTCAACTGACGCCGCCCGCGCACGCGCACACACCCGCACACACACACACACGCACATGACACCTGTCATGAGACCTCACTGTGACACCTGTCACGTGTGACAAGTGACACGCCCTCGGATACACCCCAGTACTGCGATACCTCTCTGTGAATTGTCAAATTTGTTCGGTTTTTATTTGAATAAATTTGGGTTTTGTTGGATGTTACTTTAAATATTTGTGGGATATTTATATCAATTTTTAAGTTATGTGTCAGATTTAATTCTATTCGAACTACATACGCATATATACGCATATATATGTATGCGTTATAAACCAACGTTTTCGGCATTGTTTTGTAGATGTAAAGTTAAAAATGGCGTAATACGACACAGTTCACGATTAAACCTTTTTATAGTAACTCAAAAGAAAATTAAAATGTAGTAAAGCTATCTTATAAAAACTGATGAAAAATTGATATTTTGGGGGGCCAGGGTATGTCACAATGACAGCTGTCAAATTAACCCGCGAAAAAGCTGAGTGTTTTTAAATATGTTTAGCCACAGATTATAAAATTGCTAGAAGCCAAACAGAATCACTGTCGAGTGTGTGAGCAACATTAAAGTGCGCAAAAGTGAATTATTTTGATTGTTATTGTGAAATTTGATTGTTCTTCTTTTAAATACTAGTATCGTTGTAGACAATTGACTTGAAGGATTTAACACTTTCTTTTTTAATCTATGGTAAATGTCATTTTTGACGTTTGGTAACATTTTAATGTTTGATTATAATTAAAAACGATTAATAGGAATATATTGCGTTGAGAGAAACTTGATTTAGACACTGCAATAATTTATAATACCAATATTTCTAATTGAAAACCATATTTACTGTTTTTTTACTATAATTTCGTCCTCTCTTAATAAGTCTGTGTGAGTTGTATGCAAAGTGCGCGATGGACATTATAAATATATGGGATGGGGTAATGGCGGATAAAATTGATTGATATATTAAAGAAAGTTCGAGATATATGTATAAGAAAAAATATTATTCTATCCTAGAGCACTATCTTGTATAGAAAAGTTGCAGTTCGCGACACACCTCTTCCTATGTAGTGAATTAGATAAATACCCAAAGTCTCGTCTTTGGTGCTCGCTTCTATGTAAATAATTGAATATTATTGATAAATATCAGAAGTATTATAATACTTAATATTTTTGAAACTATTGTAGTGTCTATTCATATTTTCTTTGAGAACGATGGTGTTGCTAGTTAGAATTGCAATTATTGCGGCAACACTGAATTGTTAAAAAATCTATGAATTTAAAGTTTATTTTTAAAGTGCATGCAATTTAAAAATTTTAATGTGAATTTAATATTAATTCCGTAGTTATTTTGTTTTCTATAAAATTGAGAGATTACACCTTAGTGTTGCCACAATAAATATTGTAAAGATATTTGTAATCGTTATAATTTTGAAGCAATAAAAATGTAGTATTTATTGAGAAAGGTGAAATGCTCAAATGAAGGCACGCGAGGAATTAATAGAAAGGGACGTGAATCGACCGGCCCAAGTACACCTTCTCCTAAACCTAGTGAACTCCCTAGATGTAGATACGAGCTAGTGTTGTATGTTATACGCGTGGAAACTAGTGTGGCATGTAACTTTTTATCGATATCGATATTTTTATGTTAAAAGATTTTTAATTTTAACTAACTTTAGGGTTACATGCTACACTTAATTTCCATGCTTTTTCAATTTGACGGAATACAAAATGGTGGTATTTTAAAATATTATCGTTATGTATGTCGTTAAATATAAATAAATATATTCCATTTCCTATAGTAGGCCCTGTTGTCCTCTCTAGCTGTACATCACACTTAGGTAGCCAACGAATTCTATTATAATTGATAAAAAAAAATTATATAAAATATTGAGCACTGAAACAAATTTAATATCGTGTATATTGTAAACTTGTAATCGGTTAAATATTATATCTTTATTGTTAAAGGTAGAAGGATGGGACTTTGTAAAGTGATTTTGAAGGAGCTCAAGTGTCCACAAATTATTCTAAATAGCGCGTAGTATCTATCTATTAGTCGTTTTGCACCGATATTATAAGTCAGGTTGGTCCTTCGAGCCGGATGTTGATTGGACAAAGTTATCAGAACGAGTCAAACTCTCTTGTATAACGGGGGTGACGTAGAACTTAAAATGACTTTTACTTATTTCAGTATTTTAACAATTAAAATATTTGATGAATGTCGAATGATGTGAAAAAAGTCATTTTTCGTGGTTGAATTATTTTGTGTGTATGAAATAACACTAAGACATCTTATAAAATATATTTTACCTTCTCATTTTGGGCAAATCCTTAAATCTCTGAGTCTATCAGTTTTTGCGTAAACTTGTCAAATTCAGAATTTATAGTTTTTATTGTTTTTTTTAAAGTAGTGACTTATTCATAAAAAGCTTTTTGTGCAGTATGTTAGCGTTGAAAATGCTATGCTTTCCATTTTTATATATTTAATTCGAATTTTTCTTAAACATTAAATAATTCAGTTTTGAATGCGTAATTTGCGGGTAGTTCTCAATCTGCGCGGGATTTGTGTATTACTTTAAGTATTTAATTTAGTATTTTGGTACTATTTAGTATTAACACTTTAGTTTTTAGTTAATTAACATTCCATCACAAATAGTTATGAAAAAATATACGATAAAGCGTAACTGATCTTATATATTATCAAAGTTATTGAATTTTACGTTGAAAAAATATCTTAAAAGTTTAATAAAATTTTATCTTTTCTATTTGTAATAAACTCTATGGTATGTAGATTGTTCACTCTAATAAATATTATATTTTTTACCAAAAACATGTAAAAAGCACTAACCGCATGACAACTAACGTTTATTTTTAAGACGGATTTGTTACGCGTTAAGTTTAAAAACTTAGAACAAAATGTATTCTAGTTAAGTTTTATAATAAGTTCAGATGCATGCAAACACGTGTAAAGCCAAACTAAAATTGTACACTTTCTACACATTTTGTTTATTTTGTATAATTAACCGCTGTATGGATGTGTATGAACAATTGATGCAAGTTGTATGGCTTGATGCGAGATCGCTACTTATTGTCAAACAGACTGGAGACACTGTACTATTCTATGCTTAACTGAAAAATAAAGAATGATTAATCTATGACGTCTTTTTTATTTACCGTAAGTTTCCAGAACCGAAATTACAAAAATATATCTATCTCTGTTCTTTTCAAATAGAAAGAAAGAGTCGACAATATATTTCTATGACTTTCTTTTAATTGGAATTAAATGATTTTCATTAACATTTTGATTCGATAGATGGCGTTGTTTTTTTTTACCCAAAATCTGCTTTAAAAGCTAAAAAAAAAACTTAACAGTAGTAATATAAGATTTATTACATAGAACACACAGACTTGCGTTTGATAATACAATATTCTTTTTTTTAACACATATCACTAAAATCTAAACATCAATATGTGAAATATGAATAAATTGAAATCTGTATAATAGAGCCTCGCTCAAAAGGAACATTGCGAAAAAAAAATTTAAATAAACGAAATAATTTAACATCACATAAAAGCATCTAATACAATTTAACACCAAAATAATTTGAACAATCTTAAAGAATACTGTAAATTTTAATACTTTTTGAAAATATTTAGTATTAGATATGTAAATATAATTTAATCCACGGATTTATTAGAAAATACATTTGAATGGACATAATATAGAATTTTATATGCATATATCTTTTAATATAGATATTCAATAAACAGTTTGTAAATATATCCAAATGTAAATATTTGAAAGTACTTGCAAGAATGGCTTAAGTTAATATATGAAATTTATATAAAAATAATTAAAATCATATTTGATTTACACATCGGAATGCAAAACAAAGAATTATTACTTTAACTAAATATTTTATTAGTCTTGTTATATTGGAAAAAATAATTTTTTAACCTAAAAAATTGTATAATTGTATTTGTGCCCAAAATAATTTAGAACTAAAAAAATAGTAACAAAATTTAAAAAATTACACAACACAGCCAACGAAAATGCTTAATAACTTCATACTTTTTAATACTGAATGAAATGTCTACAATTCACGAAAAACATAATACTAATTATATTATCTCTAATGTAAGCTTTATTCAAAAAAATAAAAAAACACTATAAAAGTAAAGAGATTCAGAGCTAAGATAATAATTCTGAGGAAAGAAATTGTTTTGTTCGAGATTATTTAAGAGATTTAAAACATATTAAATTAAAAGAGGACAAAATAACATTGTTACAAAAGTACGTAAAATATTCATAAAAGTGCATTAACTTTATTTGCGCTTTGTTAAAAAAAAAATCTGTGCAACTTTGTGCCGAATAAAAAAAAAATCTCCTAAACTAGGATATTTAACTGATTTGATTAATCTAATAATAGATTCTATCTCTTTTCTCTGCTATGTTTCACAATATGACACAGATTGATAAATATAAATGTATGGGTATGTATGAGTTACTGGGCGCCATTTTGCGCGCGTTTCTGGCGCTTGTTGGGCGGCGCGCCCGCGAACATGGCGCCCGACTGCAGCTCGGCGCGCAGGAATGGCACCTGTCAAGTTAATGAAATTTTAAATATAACTGAAACAATATATATTTATATAATTGCTAACTGTCGTCCGCGACATCGTCCGTGCGGAATAAAAAAAACTTAATTAGTTGCTTTTGTGTTCTTCCCGACCATGTTCTACGCCACATTTAATTTAAATTCGTTCAGCCGTTCTAAAGATGCTTTCAAACATCGGGATCCAATTAAATAGTGTAAAATGTCAGATATAACTTTATAGTGCTACAAAATTATCTGGCCAGGTCAGTCAGTCAGAAAATATGTAAAGACCTTTAAGTTTGTCGATAATACAGATTTTTGTCATACCTAAGCATCATTCATGATCACTCAATTATTAATGAATCACTAATAGAATGAGTGAATGACTGAGTGAATGGTTGGTGTGTACCTTGTGCTCGAGCTGCATGTGGTGTATGGGGCGCAGGGCGAGGCAGGCGCGCATCATGTTCTCGATGGCGGCGCGCTGTTTGCCGAGCGCGTTGACTACAGGCGCGCCCTCCGGCACCAGCGGGGCCTTCAACAAGTACGACACCAGAGACAGCACCGCGTGGAGACCTTGCCAATCTACAAACAACAATTACTTACAAAAAGTCACTAGTAGCTCATTTTAGACATTGTTAGTTAAAATCCTTTGGCGCATATGGCGCGCTTTCATTACAAAGTCAAGTGTCAGAATGATTAGTGCGGAGACACAAACGTCGACTTTTTAGTAAGGCTAGTGTTGCGCCAGTACACCGGCACAGTGTCGGATTTTCTTCCTAAAACTAACAAGCTGACACGATAACTTATAAACTCTAGTATCATGGTGTGAGTGAGCGATAGATTAAGTGAGTGAAGAATGAATCGGTAAGTGAATGACGTACCTTCAGTGTCGTCCCTACGCAGCTGCACCCTGGAGAAGAGCTCAGTGAGCAGGGCGAGGTCCAGTATGAGTGGTGTGGCGAGCAGGGAGTCCTCGCACGTGTTGTGCACGGCCAGCGTGTTGGTGCCGTGCAGCAAGATCTCTGACGTGTACTCGTCCATTGCACGCTTCGAGTCACCTAACATATTACAAACATGAAATCAGACAATAACTATTGTTTCTTAAGTTTGAAAAGTAATTAGTAGTTACTGAGTGAATAGCTAAGAAAGACTAATCTTATCTTTTAAGACGCCGTTACATATTTGAGTGATGTTTCAGTATTCGGGCATAATAATGGTAGGTTTCCGAGACCGATATCCCCGTTTAAACATATTATTATCCCTCTTTTGTGAATGATAACGACAGGGATGACGATATGTAAGCGACGATAAGTAATGTAGCAATCTGAATGC